AACTTTTTTATCTGATCAATATGATTAAAACATCAGTCAAGCCATTACTTCATTGAATCGGCTTTCATTGTTAATTAATCTCTTTGGGCTGTAATTCTCATATTTCCCTGAAGTAATTACGAATTCAATTTAAATAATCCCTAGATATAACCCTGGTATAAATTTTTCAGGTAATATTGTAATATTTGGGAAATTAGATTTAGGAATTTGTCCTGAAATATTTTTTGCTCCGAAATTAATCGAAACACTGAGTAACCGACTTGCTGAAAAAAAGTGTATTGATAAATACCCCCATTGTACTCGAACCCTCGACCTTCTATACACAGTTACCACCCATAAACCACTATTCTACTATAGTAACTGAGCAACAAAAACTTTACTTTTCTCGGTTATAGTTTAAGGTTCGTTCATTTCACCATTGAATATAGAATTGAAAAGCAATTGACGTTTAAAAGTTCGTTCTGAGAGGAGTACAATTACAGCGTTAATTGTACTCCTTAAAAAAAATGTTTTACTGAATGTACGGGCTCGTACAATTACGAAGAACTTTCAAAACATTACCCGTGACTAATAATTCCAAATTGTACTCAATCGTGCGATTTCCTATACTAATTACACATACGTCGGCTATAAGCGATGTTTACTCCTGGACTACAACCCTCGGGGTATGTATGGCTTGTGGTATCCGCTCTCGGTAATAATTAACTCTTAAAACAATATAGCTTAATCATATTCTAGCTTCCTCCTGTTCATTTTTGATTTTTTTCTGATATAGACATGTTTTCTTTGGTCTTTTTAAAGATATTAAAATCATTAAAAAATAATCCATTTCAAGAAAAACAATAGGAAAAAAGTACCCCACCCTCGTACTTCCATTGTAGTTCCAAGTAAAAAAAAATGAGATTTTTTTTACTAATGGGGTATGACCTTTTGAAACGAATGATTTTAAKAATGACCKCTTTTCATAGAATGGTTAATTTAAAGGAAAATAGTTTAGATTCTGTTTTAACTTTAAAAGAGGTAACTTCATTAATAGCAAGTATATACCACAGTTTCAATAAAATCATTTGAGAGTGTTGACAAGTTYTAAGATAAACATTGTACTTACCAATCAAAATCCCTTCGTTGCTTCTTGATAGATAGCACTCAAAGAGACTAAACAATGAGTGGGATGCTTCCTGATTTGCTACTCTGYTTCAGAAGTGATGAAAACCTGGCTACTACTATTTACCTATACCAGTAAATCTTATTAACATTTGTTTCACTATATACACTATGTACACTGACATTGAACAATAACTAGAACTAAATATGTTTTTTTAAAGGGTAACACTTTACATGAAATTAAATGCAATGGACTTGAAATATAACCCTTTGACGATAGGCCTCATACTTAGTTTGTAAGAAAAGATCAGATAATAAAGCGCCGTTTACACAAGCAATTTTTCCTTGACAATTTTCTTGACAAGGAAAAATTGTCCGTGTATAAAATGGTTTCCTTGACAATTCCTCCTAGACAATGTTTCTTTGCTCGTGTAAACGAAGAACAAGTTTTCCTTAACAAGGAAAAATCGTCCGTATGAATGGTCAACAAGTTTTCCTTGACAATTTTTCCTTGCCACATATTCCTTGTTGTCCATTTACACGAGCAAWTTTCGTCCTTGACAATTTTTCCTCATCAATGTTGGCTTTTCCTTGACAATAAAAAATTGTCAATTTTACCCCATTTACACGAGCAATTTTTCCTCGYCGAGGAAAATTGCCAAGAAAAAATTGCTCGTGTAAACTGCGCTTAATACACGGATCATGAATTAGTGATTAACTAGTTTAACTATAGCCATATCAATAGGSGCGACGTTTTGATAGTGTCGAAATAATGGACTGCGGTGAACAAATGCACAATGAATAAGATCGTCGCAATGAAATTATRATAATCCAAGCGATTATTTAAAAAAATGGATCACCTGAAAAAATTMTATTGACAAATACCCCTGTTAGACTCGAACCCTCGACTTTTTAAATACAATGCTACTGTACCAAGCAATTTATGAACTGAACAACAAAAAYTACTTTCCTTCGTTGTAGTGGTTGTAGTTAAGGWTTGTTAGCTTTTGTTTAACTCTTCGTTCTGGGAATTTTGTAAAAAGGATCGGATTACAATGTTATTTTGTGAAAACCTTTTCAATGACACAATAATAGTATTTAATTACCTCGTACGCCGGCTATAAGCGATGTGTATATTCCTTGGGACTGCCCTTGGGATATATATGGCTTTTGGTCTCCGTTTTCGGTAATAATTAACTTTTACAAAGTATAGCTTAATYATATTTTAGTTTCGAAAGTTATTTTGCACTTCGCCTGTACACTGATTTTGGATTTTTTATTAGTGATATRGTCTTGTTTAGTTTAGTCTTTACTATCATTAAACATAATCAATTTTACAAGATGAACAATGGTGAAAAGTACCGCACCCTTGTATTTGCACTTTCATCGTAGTTCAAGGTAGAAATTCAGATTTTTAAGGGGATATTTCTTCAAATCCAGGCTTTCAGCTGAATTAAGACGTTTTGAAACGAATGATTTTACTTATGACCGCTTTCCATAGAAAGGGTTATTAAAAAGAAAATAGTTTAGGATACTGATTTACCATTAAAAGGGGTACTTCATGTACAGTAAG